AATTATTTTCCTGTTGGTGTCTTTGGCGAAAAAAAAAAAATTTGGCTGTCTTCCCACTTTCTGTTTATACAAATTCATTATATATATTTAGCTGGCATAATTATACCGATCTACGTAAAACTATAGAATTTGTATTATTAGATCAAATTTATTTGTCAATAAATTAAAGAATAATAATCGCGAATTTATAAGTAAAAAATTTATTTATCTTAATAAAATAAAATAAAATTTATAAATAAAAAATTTATTTATCTTAATAAAATAAAATTAAATTTATAAATAAAAAATTTATTCATAATTACAAAAATATTTAGGAAAATATTTGCATTTGTAAATTTCAAATATATTTTTATAATTTCAAGTTTCCGAAATTAAAAAATATATAGAAATAATTAATTATTAAAAACTTGAATATATATTTTTCTAGCTTTTATATTCAATAAAAAAAATTTTCTTTCGCATCTTATAAGAGACGCAACTAATTGTTTTAATTAATAATAAAGACTTCACTTCATTGGACAATTGGACCTACATAGATAATTGTCGCGAGATCATTATTATGAAGACACATTATATAAGAAGAATTGTATATATATATATAGTTATTTTCTAACAATGTTGTGAGTATTCTATGATTTGTGAAAATGGCATTGCAAACGTCAGGGATTTTTTGACGTGTTCGCTCACAACTCCTGGGAACCGGTCGAGCTGCATTACTCTCCAAGACGACTGCATTCCGCGACAATTACAAGTTTGTCAGTACCCTTTTTTTTGCACTAAGCCTCTAAGGAACATGTGCTTTCAGAATAAAGTAGCAAAAAAAAAGAGGATCAAATATCGGTAACGTTTCATTTTGTCTGCCTTGTGTCTGAAACGATAACACACAATTTATGCAACATTTTTACTTTCTAAAAAATTAATTTTCCCAATTTATTATAAATCGAATTTTAATTCAATAAAATTTTAATTTAGCAGAATTAAAATTTAATAAAATTATTATTTATTTAAATTTTTTTTGGGACTTGCGAATTTAAAAAAAAAATATTATTATTATTATTATTATTAAAATATTATTATTATTATTATTATTTTAAAATATCGTGGAAAATATTTTGAAAACTGTGTCTACGTTTTCTATTTAGTATTCAGTTTGTATTCCAGTAAAAGCAGAAAATACAGCGTGTGCCCATGTGTAACATAAACATATCGCACTGACGATTGTATGCCTATCTTTCTACATGGATAAATATGAACTATTCAGAGTCTCTTTAAACAAATAGAGCAAACTCCCTCAAAAACTCTCTTTAAACAATTCAATTCAAAACTTTCATTCTCCATTTACGCAAAAACAACTTCCATTTATGGAAAAATAAATATTTTTCTCGAATCGCTTTCAATTTTTTTTCCCCCTTTTATTATCATCATTAATTATTATATTTTTTTTCACTTTTTTTTTTAATTCCCTTTCATTTTTTTTTTATTATCCAAATATTTATCAAAAAAATGTTAATTGAAACTAAAAAAAAAAATTGTTTGAAAAGGTATAACGTCAAAATTAGGATTGAATTGCCAGCCTTGAATGCTTAACTATTTCATGATTTCGCAGTTTCCTGTGATTGTTGTAATAGCAAAGTTAATCTAACCATAGCACGCAAAAATTTATTTCTTTATAAAAAAAAAATTTCATTCTGTTCTTTGTAAAAAAAAAAAAAATTTTCAAAGAAATTAAATTATTTGACATTAAAAAAAAGGATTTTTTAATTTTTAAAATAATTATTGCAAGATTGAATTCTTTATTCACCAAAGAAGTACTTTATCTTGAAAAAAAAATTGTAAGATACGATCGTGTCTCCTGATAAGATTTTAATATCAACAAATTTGCAGATACGAAAAAATATATATGGGGCATTCTTTCTCAACTTTACCACCATGCTGCCCATCATCAGTTTCAACGAAATTGAATGAAATACCGCTTAAAATTTTCAGAAAAATGTCAACTTTTGAATGCCGAGTGGCAAAATTGTCCGTTTTTGATTGGTTCATTCTAAAAATGACAAAATGGAAAAAAATAAAGAAAATAATTTTTTATGGGTCAAGTTCCAAATAGCACCCACCCCCGATTTCATTGAAACTTGGCATATTTACGTGATTTGGTGCGCTGATTACGAAAATCGTAGTGGAAATTGGCGCAAATTTGATTTTCATGGTGAAAACCATTAAAAACACTATAAAATCATGGTTTTTTGCGATTAACTCGTAAAAGTCGCAAAATTTCGAAAAATATTTCCAACAAAAGTTATAGATCACAAAAAAACACACATTTTATGTCTTATTCATTTTTTCCCAAAAGTGATTATTTTTCAAGAAAAATCCAAAAAACCGTCAAAAACACCAAAATTGATGGAGAAATCATAAATAGAGAGTAATTTTGTACTTTTAAGTATACTAACATATTTTATTGCGCTCATTACGAGAATGATAGTAAAAATTGCGATGTGCTTTCCTCAGCAACATTATTCTCAACAACGTAATATAATATTGTGAATACTTTTTTCCCCCATTAGTTTTTTAAGATAATTTTGTAATTTACAAATATCAGGGCATTTTTTACATTCAGTCAAATGACAATTTTCATCAGGATTTTTACATAAAATTTGACTTAGACATTCTTTATAATCATCCAAAATTATCTCGGAATCTTTAGAACGAGTTTTTAAATTTATCGAATCAATAATCAATTTGCAATTTTGATGAATAGTGCAGACGCAAACCAAATGTGTACCACTTGCACCAGCGATTCAAATCCTTTAATTCTCTAGCTTTCTGTGCAAAATACCTGGAACATTTGAATTCTCGAGCAACTTGTCTTATCGTCCATGTACTTGGCACTATAGTCAAAATCGTCAACCTTAAAGGATCAGTGATGTCGAGACTATAAAACTTGTTTTTCAATGCCCAAGCAGCACGTAATATAACCTCAAAGTGAAGGGAATATTCCAGCGATAATGTAGCAATATTAAAATGTCCGCCTCAAGGGAATATTCAAAGATGAAATTGAGGAAATGTTCCACGAGAATGTTCAAGGAATATTCCCAGGGAATATAGAGGGAATATTCCACGGTGATATTCGGAAAATTAAAATTAAGTTTTTTTTTCATTAAAAATACAACTTATTGCAATCTGAACGCTTTTAATATTACCGAGTTGTTTTAACACTTTTTCAATTTTCCGAATATCACCGGGGAATATTCCCTCAATATTTCCTCTATATTCCCTCTATATTCCCTGGGAATAATCCTCAAATATTCCTGTAGAACATTCCCTCGATTTCATCTTGGGATATTCCCTTGAGGCGGACATTTTAATATTGCTACATTATCGCTGGAATATTCCAAATATACCATGGAATATTCCCTTCACTTTGAGGTTATATTACGTGCTGCTTGAGCATTGAAAAACAAGTTTTATAGTCTCGACATCACTTGTTGGAATTTGTTGGAAATATTTTTCGAAATTTTGCGACTTTTACGAGTTAATCGCAAAAAACCATGATTTTATAGTGTTTTTAATGGTTTTCACCATGAAAATCAAATTTGCGCCAATTTCCACTACGAATTTCGTAATCAGCGCACCAAATCACGTAAATATGCCAAGTTTCAATGAAATCGGGGGTGGGTGCTATTTGGAACTTGACCCATAAAAAATTATTTTCTTTATTTTTTCCATTTTGTCATTTTTAGAATGAACCAATCAAAAACGGACAATTTTGCCACTCGGCATTCAAAAGTTGACACTTTTCTGAAAATTTTAAGCGGTATTTCATTCAATTTCGTTGAAACTGATGATGGGCAGCATGGTGGTAAACTTGAGAAAGAATGCCCCATATATATTCGAAATACATCAACCTGCATTTCTCTAAAAAAAATTTATTTTTTCTAATTTAATTTATTATTATAATTTTTTAGAAAATAAAAAAAAATTTAATTAAAATTAAGTATTTTTTTTCGAAAAATGTACCTTAATGCCGGATTCCGCTTTTCGATACCAACTTTTACTTCTTTGAACAGAATTTGACATGATGATATAAAATGAAAACTAATAAATTGTCTCAACAACACTCCAAGAAAAATGAAAACATTTTAAAAAATCTTCCGGAAATATAATCCACAGTGAAGAATAAAAAATCTTATAATCATTGTTTATATATCATTTACACGTTCGTGTTTCAATTATCACTCTATTTAGCACACTTAAGCATATAATTATTAATTGCTACTTGAATCACTTTTTTTTTTTACACACACTTTAGATCATCATCAATGTATTTAAATTACAAAATTCAGCGACATTTAAAAAAAAAATTAAACACAAAAAGAAACGAATAAAAAAAATTTCTGTATTTTTAAAAATGAATTCTTTTTAAAAATTCAAGGCAAAAAAAAAATCCGCAAATACGTATAATTTCAAGGATGAAATAAAAAGTACGATTTTTTTTTTTCAGAAAAATAAGAAAAACGCACTAAAAATGGAAAGATGACAAACAACGAGTATTAATTATCCACACACTTGGATTACGTTTTAATTCAGTTTAGTGTGCAGAGGACTGCGCACGACTAAACACTATATTTCACTATATGAAAACAGGAGAGCATAAAACATTCAAGTTTTACCTAGGAACATTTTGAAGACCAACATACACAACTTGTATATAATATATATATGCATGGTTTCTGCGACTGAATAGGTAGTTAACATACCAGCTTTTAAACATATAGAAGAGAAGGGGGCAATGCAGTAATAAATACATACCAACATTTGTAAGTGAATCATACTCCCGATAACTACATATAAACGAGTTAAACACAAAAATTTACCTTCAATTAATTATTGAACAGAAAAAAAAATTATTATTAATTAATTATTATTATTATTAGCTTTAATTTTTTATACGAAAAAAATTAAATTAAAATAAAAAATTTTATATGAAAAAAATTACTCACAAAACCAGCTGTTGCCTTATCCCTTCGATTTGACATTTTTGTTTATTTGTTTGTTTGTTTTTTTTGGGGGGACGTTCTCTACCCTCAATGCATGTCCTGGTATCCTAAAAAAATAATAATGAATTAAATTTGTAATTAATTAAAATTAATTAAAAAGCAAAAATTATATATAATTAATAAAATATGATAAATCAAACTGAAAATCTATTCTTCTTTTAATTACTTATGATTGATTAATTAATTTTGTTATTATTAATTATATAACAAAGGATATTGTGTATAAACTTTATTATAACAATTCTATATTGTGACGATTTTGAATAGCTCATTATCTGAATTAAAAACAAACTTAAGACAATTTACAATCTTTATTATTCTATTTAAGGTAATCAATTAAATGCACCCTAAATGATTTAATTAAATTTAGAGAACAATTGTATGACTTAAATAATGTTACCAACCGCCTGTTACTCTCTCTTCTAGACATTTTATTTATTAAGAGAATTGTAAAACAAAATCTTTAAAAAAAAATTTTTCTTCCATGAAATTAATTCTTAAAATAATTAACTAGAATAAAATAAAAATAATTATAAAATAAAATGAATGAAAATTTAAATAAATCAAATTCTCAATTATAAATTTGAATAAAATTAGATGCAACTTTCTACTTTATATCTGACAGCTTAAAAAAAACATAACATTAAAGAGATCGTTTACTTGAATTTAAAAATTAAATCAATTCTGGAGTCAATCTCTTATTTAAATGTGATATCATTACAAAAATACAAATATTTTTAGCATTAAAAATAAACTCAGACCTTGAGAAGAGAGAAACTTACTCATCAACAAACATAACTTCCATTCATCTAAGGTCGACTACTTCCTCAGGGCTAGTTCCTTACGGAAATCTCAATGTTTAAGCAAAAAAAAAAAAAAAATTACGAAAATTAAATCAAACCCGTACATTTACCTTTTAATTCCTACTTGTTAATTTTTTTCAATTATCAGAAAAGGAAAAAAAAACAACAAAGTAAAAACAATCATTTCACAAAGAAAATTAGTAGAAATACACTCAGCACAAAAGCTGATAGAAAATTATCATTTCAGAAAAAATTAATAATCTACATTTATAGTTGAGATATCAACTTCTAACTCGAAAAATGTTGAAACTAAATAAATTCGTCACAATACATAACTGCTATAAATAATAATTATTTGGACATACATACAAGTGAAAAATGTAAACAATAAACAATTATATTTACCTGAGATGAAAAAAAGTTGAAAATGAAAACTCAACAGCAGAGGCAGGATTCACACAGGTCAAACACAAATGCTGTTATTATTATTCACTAAGGACGATAATTTATAACACACAAGGATTCACTTTTCACGTATTATAATAAACAGCAAGATTTTAAATTTATAAAATTATAAATTTGTTCGTTAAAAATATACAATCCCAAACACACACACAAACAAACTTCTTTATTGAGCGTATGAAATTTGGTTAATTTGCCTATTAAAATGCTGTTTTCGTAATTCACTCACTATCAAGATTTGTGTATAAAATACATTTTAATTACAATGAAAAAACACTTATTTCACATGTTTCATTATCGCCATGAGAAAAATTGTCACAACACAAAACATCGTGTAACCTCGTTAAAACCGCGTACAATTTGCTTAAAAAAGCCCGTTAATTTCAAGAGACATGCCAGTTTAACATTCCAATGGTAAAAATCATCAATGATTGGATATTTAATTCACAATTTCATTGAATTTTATCTAAAGGAATATGCCAATGAATGCGTTTTATTTTGATCAACACACTGCACACGCGAAGGAACGAATTTCAAATAATTATCTTTTTTCTTTTTAAATAAAACAATAATTATCTTTTTACATTAATTAACAAACAATTCTAATGTAGATAATTGCTATTAGTTTCTTTTTTTTTAAACAAATATTGACTAAAAAAAACTTTATACAACAACGCACGAGAAGACGCGGAATCGAACTGAATTTAGAGGTTATGTTCGAGAGTTCAAGTTTCCGGACTAATATTCTCAGCCAATCAAAATGCATTGTTGAAATGGCGCTGTTTTTTAAATCAAAATTAAATTTTGAAATTATTGCGATGAATGATAAAAATATTAATTAATTAATTATTAAATATTAATAATTAATAAATAATTAATTGTTGATGAAAATATTTATCATTTAAATGAAAAATTGGATTTCACTTATAAAATAGGTATATTGAAAAAAAGAAAAAGATTTTTATAATTGGATGCAAAACATTTATTTTCGACTTTGATTTGAAATTAGGTGACTTCTGTACACTGAGAATATCTATACTTATTTCTTTTCGGCAGCATCATTAATGTACAATATTATAGCATAAAATCTTTTCAATTATCTCATCCCCATTTCTTCTTTTTTTTCTCTATCTCTAAATATAATATCCAATAAATGTTGAAAATACAACGTAGTAATGAAAGTTTTATATATATAAAGTAGAATATTAATTATTAAAGTTTTTTTTTTATAACTGTACTGTATATGTCCGTTATAGTTTGATGCAAAGAAAAAACTTGTACAACTACAAAAATATATCTCTAAATGTAAACGCAACATTTTTCAATTTAACAATTTTCGACAACTCGTAAAGACAATGACGCTGCACGGTCTTATTATTATTATTTTTTTTTTTTAAGTATACAGTGAAATTTTCACAATGCTTTTTTCTTCTTCACAAAAAAGCATAAATTCCGTACATATTTATTATCATCTTTTTTTTTTCTTTTTAAATCAATTGTCGCTCACACACAGATACTGATCGATTAATATAACATTTTTTCTAAAAACAAATCTGATGTTCAAAAATATTGAACAATAAATCTCAAACACATGCCAAAGTATATATTTATATATAATATATATTTATAATTCCTCTGAGAAATTGTTTTTATAATGAAATTAAAGTTTTTTAAAATATAAATGAATTGAGCACAGTTGAAATCAATTTCTGATTTTTGACACTGTGCGTTTTTTTTCATCTTTCTTATGATATACAAATTATTTGCAATAAAAACTGAGTCGACGGTTTATTGTTTTTTTTTCACGGAAATCGCAAAAATTCATTAATCTCAAAGAAATTTGCCTAGCTGCCTATTTTTATTTTTTGAAACATATTTGATAAATAGGTCGAGTCAAGGCGTGCACAATCTTATTTGTATATAAATTATTCTGACAAAATAATATATTTTTTAAAACAAACCGGACAAAAAAAAATTATCGTCATTCAAGTTTAAACTATTTCATCACTTGGTGCAAGTTGTCGATAAAAGACTAACATAATACATAATTTATACATATATATATTATAATTATTATTAATATTATTATTTATTATTAAAAATGAAAAAATATTCTACTGACAATATTTAAAGGCTTTCTTCTATAATAAATAAGCCTTGACGAATATTGATTGTAAGGTCCGGTTACATTGGTAAGAAGAATATATCGTAACCATTTGGAGCCATTCTTTTTTTTTTTCTCTCAACTTGCAACATGAAAGAAATGAAATAGTTTTTACAATTGATGTATATATATATATATATAATGTCTTCTTTTCGAAATTATTTATCGTATAATTATGTTTACATTCGCATATTGTATAAAGAATCGTTACAATTGATAAAAGAAATAACAGTTTACAGGTCTTCACTTTTGCTTTTTTTCTCCTCTCTTTTCGAAAATTGAAATAAAAAAGAAAATATTAAACTAATGAAAAAAATCTATTACAATGCAAAAATCATAATATTAAACAAAAAATAAAAAAAAAAAAACTCGAAATGAAAATAGAAAAAAAATGTCTTCTTACAATTTACAGAGTCCGATCTCATTTTCAGATCCGTTAGGTATATTAAAAAAAAACTTATGTATAGAATAAAAATAATGAAAGAATATCTAAATTATTTTTTTTTTTTAATAATAAAAATTATGAAAAATCTAAATTACACAAATAAAACATTGAAAATTTAAATTTATTTTCGCGGTCTAAAGTTTATTTAAAAAAAAAAAAAAAAAAAAAATTATGATTAAATAATCTAAATTTTTTTTTTCTTTTTAGTTAAGTCTTTTAGAGTAGTTTCTCATATTACGAAAAACTTGGCAAATTACAAATATAATTATCCATTCGCACAATGGTAACTATGTACAAGCTACACGTACATACAAGTAATAAAGTTAATGGAAAAAAGTGTGTGAAAAATTAATTATTCTATCAATCTTAATTAAAGGCCATTTTAGCGCATTAAGTTTCCGGGCAATTGGGGGGGGGGGACAAAAAACACAAGAATTGTTATTGCAAAAAGATACGGAAAATTCTTATTACAATAAAAATAATTATTATTGAGTCACGTTCGATATTATATCGAAATTACTCTAGTTATATCTTAATAGAGCAATGTCCGCAAAAAAAATCTAAGAATTTCGTTGCAATTACAGCAAAGTTTATATAAATTTCATAATTAATATAAGAATTCAATAAGAAATACTTAGGTATTCAATTTCAATTAAAAATATTCTTCTTTTTTTTTTTGCAATTGTCTTCTTTGAGAATCTTTTAACCAAGTTTTGATTCTTATAAATGAATCAATCATACATTTCTTTATTTACAGTTTTACTTATGTACATATATTTCAAATAGATTGACCCTTGTCATTATCATTAATATAATGTAAAAAAAATTGTATTATATTTCCTCATCGATAAAAATTGTAAAACTTGGTTGACGAAAAGAAAATATAAAAAAAAAAAAAACAAGCACAGCCTCTTTAGAAATTAGAACAAAAAAACTTTCTTTGCTTTAGTTGCAACGAGAGAACCATTTTCTTTTTTTTTTATTTTTAGAATTTTTTTTTCTTTTTTTTCATTTTTTTTTTTTTTAACAACCGTGCAAAACTTTGATATCTGACTTTCGTGCTCTTTCTTTTTTTATGTTACAATTTTACGCGTCCAAGATATCAAGGGCACTTGAAAATTCTATAAAGTCATTTTTTTTTTGTCTAGACTCTATTAAAAAAATTTGTTATATACTTAATATTAATAATAAGCATGCGTCATTATGGTGAAATATCGATACGAGTCAATAAACGTTCCAGTGAACTGAATTTTTCAGTGTCTAATTTTCGAAAACGATTAAGATGCTGATATAATGTACAGGCAATTATTGGAACGTACGGTGCAACATTACAAGTGGTAGCACCAATTAATTTCATAACAGTGTCAATGAAATTCGACCATTCTTCAACATAACGATCGTCATTTGGAAAAGTAACTTCTGCCTGTTCCAATAGCAAAACGAATATCGAAATGCCAAACTGGAAAATTAGGTCATTCTTTTCAATTGAAATGTTATTCAAAAATGAATTATTATGAAAAAAGAAATAATTTAAAAATAAATTAAAGAATTTAATTTATACATACCTTATTTGTTAGAGCGAATGCTAAACTGTTTGTTTTTGTCGGTTGATTCGCCGATTCCATAAATGCCTTGGCTAATTGTGAGAGAATTGAAAAATTCTTGATAGCTTGAATCCATTTTCGAAATTCCGGATAAAAGTTTATCAATAAACTTGAATCTCGACGACCAATAATTACCAAACCACGCAATAAACCAGTCCATATTTCAGCTAATTGATTTTTATATTCAGTCACATTAAGAAATGGCAAAAATCTCAGCAACAATGTCTGAAAATTTGAAAAAAAACGAAGTTTACAAATTGCATAACGAAATATCATTTGAAAAATACATACCTTGCCTTTTCTTATACTTAACATTCCAGCTAATTTATCATCCTTTAATAATTGCAAAAGAGATGATAAAATCATTGTTATTAATTCTGGCACCGATTTTTTCACAACTTTTGGCTCTCCCTCATTCTCTTGTAATTCTTGTTGTTGTTTCTCAGCGAGTAATGCTAACGGATTATTCGCATCTTCGAGGTTCAACAGCAAAATGTACAGCTAAATTATAAATTTTTATTTAATAAAATTTTTTACACAAAAAAAGAAATAAAAGAAAAAAAAAGAATTTACCCTCTCTATTTCAAGAAGTAGTTGACGTGTTTTTTTAGTATCTTTCTGATGAGGTGGCAATGCCTGTTGTGGATCACTATTTGGAACAATATCCATGTCAATAATTTTTCGCGGTGCCGTTACACTTCCACATTGAAGTTTTCCCAATGAATTTTCAAATTGCATCGGTGTATAAACAACTTTTACAAAAGTGTGCTGTGTTTGCTCTCTATCCCTTGTTTAAATAAAATAATTATAAATATAATAATTATAAATATATAATAAAAAATAGATTTTTTAAAAATTACAAAAACTAAATAATAATTGTATAATATTAAATAAATACCTGGAATCTTTATGATGTCCGTTACGATGTTTCCTGTCAATATTATTATCCTCATTCTTTTTATTTTGCCGATCACAAAAAACAGTGTAATAATAATCATCGACATAAGGCTGATTAGTATTAAGTTGTAAAAGTTGAATATTATTTAACCATTGTTTTTCACGTGTACTCATAAGACCGGCATATTCATCATAATCCCTTGGTACATTTAATCCATTTAAACCTTGTGCGTGATGATGTGAATGATGGAAACGTTGATTATTGTGATTTTGATTGTGATTGTGATTATGATTATGATTGTGATTGTGATTGTGATACGGAAGTTGATTATTTTTAAAGAAAGGTTGATGATTCTGTTGTTCATTATTATGAAACGGCCTATTTTGATTTCGCTGATTAGCCGAATGCAATGGATGTTTAAATTGTTGATTTGTCTGATTATTGACGAATGGCATCATTGGATGATCCGGTCGCATAAACTGCAATGATCCCACATTTGGATTAGGCGCTGGCTATAAAATAAAATTTATATATATATATTTTTAAAATAAATTTTCAATGAAAAATCAAAAATAAATTATATTTTAACTTACGGGAAAATTGCCCATGGGAAAATTTCCAGGCATTGGATGCCTTTGACCTCCAGGTGGTATTATTAAATGTGGAGGTACGAGAAATCTTAACATATTGCCTCCTTGATCTGATAGAGAAATTTTTTTGAAATAAAGATTTTAAATTATTGAGAAAATATTGTAATAACTTACTGGGCATTTTGTGATTTGGCATAAATTGTGGATGTGGCAGTCTAAGATTTGGAGGAAGCATAACCGGTGGCGGTGGAGGTAATGGTAGACCTGGCGGAAATCGTGGTGGCATGCCATTTAATTGAAGTTGTTCATTAATTGGCATTGAATCGAAAAATCCACCTTGTTGCGTTGGAGCTTGAGGTAGTTTATTAATTCCAGGCGGAGGTCTATTGCCAATAAGACCACGTTCCAATTCCTCAACTGTGCAAACTTTTTTCAAAGCAGTTGGCAATGGTGGTTTTGGTTTTGGTAAAGGAAGATTTGCTGGACTATCCCAAACTCCCGGTCGCGGTATAATGCCCTCCTTCTCATCCAACACCAAATGGGACAGGCTGTTCTCAATATCAACTTCTGCATCATTCTTCAAAAAAAAAAAAATTACAATCATTTTAATGCTTTTTATTTTGTTTCTTTTTTTGCAAAATAAAATAGAAATTACTTACTTTATGATAAGAATTAGATGTTTTAACCAAAGAATTTTGATGACTTGGTCGCGAGGATTCGGTGATTTGTGCTAATTTCTCATGATCTTGTTCCCAATCGCCAACTGGTGCCTCAGAACCGAATGTTTCATCATTAAGTGCATCGTATTTTTCTTCTTCACCAAACTCTTCATCATCTAAGGGGCCGTAAAGTCCATCCTGTAATGAAAAAAAAAAAAAAAACATTCAAAATACAGTACACAACATCAAAACTCAAGCAAAAACATCTTTGAATAACTAAAAGAAAAAAAATGAATACCCCAGCGAAATTGAAAACAGATTAGATTGTCATTCAAGGAAGTAATTTAAGCCCAGATTGAAGAATGATAATAAAATTATATTTTTGTTCAACAAAACGAATACATGTTATTGACCTTTTGTAGGGCGGGGGGATATTGTGGGGCATTCCAAGAAGACAGGTTATGTCTAATATATATTGATGATAAAATATATATATATATATATCCCGGAGAACAATTAGCATATGAAAATTTTTTTTTTTTTTTTATAATGAAAATTACATATGATATTTAATGAATAGCATTTAAGTGTATATCGTTAATTCATTTTCATTAAAGGAAGGAACAATTTATAAATATAATAAACATTATAGAATGAAAATTGCTGGGTCAATAAATAAAATATTTTAAGAATAAGAACTGAATGTTTCCGACGCAAAAAAAACGTTCAGCTTAAGTTATGAAAACTCTTTCACTAAATAACGGAGAGAAATGAATGTTTATGGAAAATAATAAGGAATGTTTACTAACCCCGTGTGTTGTATTAAATCCGAAAAAAGAATCTGCCATTTGTTAGAATTAAATTCACAAAATGTCATGTTCTGATTAAACGTCAAGTGCGAATAGACATTTGCCGTCATGGCGTTCTGCTTACAAGGTTTCAAAAATTACCGCTAGATGGCACAGAATTAACAGATGGCGCTGCATTATCTGGTCACCTGATTTTTTGTTTAACCGCCATTTTAACGGTTTGTAAAAGGTGAATAACAAAATTTTCATGTTTAAAGCAAAAATTGATAATTCTTTGGAAGATTAATAATAAAAAAAAAACATGGCAATATCGCCGGAATCAATTTATTTTGTTGCTGTTACAAAAATTTGTAAAAATGGTAAGATTTTTTGATATTTAATATTGGTTTACTTTTGTACTTTTCAGCCGGGCAATTTTTTTGTTTTTTTCATATTTTTCACTATTTATACTTGTATTTATTTACAGAATGTTAAATATTGTGCAATTTTTAACGTATTAATATTCTGGAACTTTGTTTATTAGAAATTAAGTTTTTATTTCGATTATAAAAAGAGGTTATGTTTAAGTTGCTATATACATGTTTATTTACAATTACATCGATAAATTGAATATTGAAATAGTTTGTAAAGGTCACGAAAATTTTGTTTTAAATAATTTTATAGTAAACTTTAATAACAAACATTCTTTGTGCTCGAGAAAAAATAATAATTTTATTGTGAAGTTCAAATAGTAAAAAATAAAACATTATTGACGTCAATAAAAAGAAATTTAAATCCTATTGTTATTGTATATTTTGCAACACCCGGCGCCTCTTGTTAAATGTTGGAAAATGTGGTGCAAATAATTTAAATGCTGCGTCATAAATTAAATCTCGAAATGAAAGATTTTATAATCATTTGAAATCTAGTTCACTAAATTAATGATAATCTTCCATTTAAATCCAGTTAATAATATATGTATATATAAGAAAAAACAATTTTTTAAAAATCTATTTTATATTCCTCCTAGAAATCTAAGAATTTTCTTTTTAATTTCAGGAAAAAATGTAAGAAAAACAGAAAATAGTCAGCTTATTCTTAAAATAAATGGAAAGAAACTCATTTGGAATTCAAGAGTGATTTTATGAAAAAAAAAGGAAATTACAGGAATGAACTAGTAAATGGTAATATTATTTTTTTTCTTTTATATTTATTTAATAAATAATTGTTAATTTTTACAAAATGTTATAAATCAACAGTTTTTTTTTAAATTGTTAAATTTTTATTGAAATGATTTAACAAGTTTGAAGCATTACTAGATCAATCATGAGAATGAATCAATTATGAGAGAAAAAAAACATGCACCTAATTTCTCAAGAACGCATTTTACAGTTAGTATCATACACTATATATGACAATGAAATAATAAATCGACGTCATCATCGAAAAAGGATGTTTGCGTGAAACAATTATTGAGAATTATGAGGAATCAATTTTACATCTGAGAAGAAGAGAAACAAGTAGCAGCAGCCGTGACTTTTGCCTAGCGGAGGCTCGTCCTATGATGACGATGGCGACGCGTATGTTAAAATTAAATCCAACAGACCGACGTCTGCATCTTGCCGACGGCGACGTCGCGACGAAGTGTGCGTCCTTTAGCTCAGTCTCAAGAGCATATTCCGTCAGTGTGGATGCCTTAAATTTCTCGTTTTTCTTTTCTTTTTTTGTAACTTCCTGAGCTTTCGTGTGCTTTTTTCTCCCCTCTTTTTCACGCCGTGGACCATCTTCTATATATTTGTTCTCGTTGGAATTTAAGAGCTGTGATATTTTCGGTAAAAAGCCTACCCTTGGAATAATTTAAGCGCAGTCACGACGTCCCACACGAGGTAATCCGGCAATCGGCAAACTTCATCTTATCAAATCACTGATTTGATTTTTCATATATTAAAAAATTTTAGATTACTTTATTTCATATTTTTCTCTCGTTTCAATCAAACGGATGCTGAGGTTCAGATTCTTAATTTACGATTTTTTTCTGGTAAAAAAAAATAATTCTTTCTCTATTATTGTTGAAATTACGTAATTTAGTTTAATAATTAAATTGAATTTGCTTTTACGTTTTGAAAATTTGAAACTACTTTCGATAAAAATATTTTGTAATTACAAAATTCTTTTTTTAATTCTTTACTTTTTGACTTAGAATATTTTTTCTTAACAAAACTTCTAGAAGATTCTCTAATTTTATGATAATTATAAATTTGAGAGCCCTTTTTCAAGAACGCAAATAATATCTGCATATATGTAAACGTACCACCTGCCAAAATTTTTGCGGCGTCGTTTGTCACTTAAAATATTCTTAAAAATTATAAAAAAAAATTTCTTTAGCAGATTTTTTTTTTGTTTTATTTTTTTTCGAGCACGTGCGAATAATTTTTCTCATTTGAAATTCAAAAAAACCTTTGACTTTCGTTACATTCATTGGGTCGTTGGACGTATTCACAAAATTCAATGTAATTTTCTCTTCTCTTTTAACGTTTTAATATTGGCGGTGTGCGTATAACTTTGCCAACTTTTTGATAAACAAAATTTCATGCCGATGCTCCAGTTAGACGTGGTTTGAAATTTCGTACGCGCAAGACGTGTCAAGAAAACACGTGTGCTAAAAATGTTTGTTGACATTGGAATTCATATTATTTGTTCTTTTCGAAAAAAAATAATTTTAATTACCAAATAAGAAATTTCAAACAAAGTTAAAATGAAAATTTATCAAAAATTAAATTCTTATTTTATTAAAGAATATTTATAGTAAGTTATATTTTGTTTATAGTAAATTAAAAATAATTTATTAAAATTTAGAAACATCAGTAAAAAAAGTAAAAATTATTTATCGGAAAGTTAATTAATGGTAAATTGAACTTGTTTTGTAATCGAAAAAAAAAAAAAAAATTTTCGATAGGAACAATATTGCTAATTGATCAATTGTGTCGTCATTGTTGCATTAATTTTTCAAGAAAATTTTCCACTATTCATTGTACATATTTAGAGCATGTATAGAGAGCATTTATTGTAGTCGCGTGAGTTGAAAAATGTCAATGAAAAAAAAATTCCGTTTAAGTGCAATGGGATCATCACTCGTTCATAAATAGTCTTTTTTTTTTTATTTCTAAATTTTCTGAAAACCGTTAGATTTCTTTAACTCTTAATTACATTTTTAATGAATAGTATAATAGATTTATTAATTTTGTCTGTTTTTCATAATTTCAATTTAAATATCTATTTGATTATCAAAAACAAAAATTGGAACAGTTTTAAAATCATACTATCGAATATTTTTATTCTGTCGAAATAGATTTTGAATTCATTTTGCTCGACATAGATTGGCCGTTTCTCAATGATCGATCGAAAAGTATGGAGGAAAAGCAAAGTGTCACCAGGTTACTAGCCTTGATCGTCTGCCAAATATTTGACAGAGAAAGCGTGCAGTTGTCACGGGCTAATTTTACCTGTATAAGTAATACACACCTGACGAGAAGAAAAAAAAAAATATTTTTTTTTCTCATGATATATAATTATTGTGCGCATTTTTTTTTTTTCAGATCAGAAAATTATTACATATTTTATTAAAACGGAAAACGAATTTAATTGACTCGATTGACAATGCACACAGGTATAATGTGCACACATAAAGTGTAAAAACAAAAATAGATTGCCATTGACCTCTCCGGAATCAACCAACAGCCAAATTAAAACTCAAACCAATTGTTCATTCAGTGCTTTATTCAAAAATTATTCTTTAAAATTTTGTCGAAAAATGTTTTTTAACAAAATTATTTTTTTAATTATAAAGAAATTTTTTTTTCTAATAAAAAAATCTTGCTTTTCTTTTAAGTAGACATTTTTTTTATTAAAAGTATACTTTTTTTTATTGAAGTAGAATATTTGAAAATTTTGTTCAAACTGTAGCATATGTTTGGAATAAGTTAATGCAACTGATTTGAAATTCGAATCTATAATTGAAAATTCCAAATATTTCAAAGTTTGAGAGATGAGGAAAAAGGAAAATTTTGTTTTCAATATAATGTTTAATTCAATTTATTGCGTTTTGTTTTTCAAAGAAAAATATATTTTCCCTAGATAGCATTTTTTTAAAATTGATTTTATAATTTAATTTTTCAAATTTTTCAAATTAAATTGAATTTATAAAAAAATTAGAAAAATTGTTTTGTCTAATTAAAAATTAATTTGTAGGATGGACCGAGATGACGATGATTTCGGCGAGGGTTTCATTGCAGAATCACATCCCCTGAGACCAACTCATCTTAATGTTCCTCTGGGAGGTCGAAATGAATCTCGAGCACCAAGTATTAGCAGCAGCGTTAGCGATATGGACGTGCCAATTTATACCAGAGAAACCACCATACCACTTTCAGCTAAAAAGGTGAGTCTACGTAATTTGATGTTATTTATAACTCGAAACCGCGTTTGCGTGAGAATTACCTTAAAATACATTTTGACGTGGAAAAAAGAAATTAAAATAGATCAAAAGAGAGAATTATCAAAAAAAACAAATATTTTTTAAATTTTAATTAAAAAATATTTAAAAATGATGAAAGAAAATTGGTATTTTTTTATATTGTTTTCTTGCTTTTTGAAGCTTGTAAATTTAGATTTCGTTTTTTGTCTTTTAAAATAGTCTTCTTATTCTCGCGATTTTTTTTGTCTTCTCCCCAAATATGCAAAGAGGTCTCCGTCTCTTGCGCTTTGAAATAGAATGGGCTGACGTAAATTTTACTCAATGGTGCGAAGCATTCAGTTTCCTTTGCGAGTGACGCAATAAAAAAAAAAAAAAAAAGAGGCGTACATGAGGAAGATCACGTCTTTATAACAACTCTAGATAATAGATTTCCAAGCATTCGATTAATATGCCCCCCAAGTTGTAACATCGGATAATTAAATGATTTGTATTCTTTATACATAAATAGAAAATATTTTCATATGACATTAAAAAAAAATATCTGGTCTCAAAGTCAATATAGCGTTAAATATTTTTTTGTTAATTCAACAAAAAACATAGTTACAATTTTTTTTCTTTTCTTTTTATTTGCAATTTTTTTTTTTTGTCAAATCAATGAATTTAATTTACTTTCGTGTTATAATTAATAAAAAAAAAACTAGATTATTATCAAGAACAGCTAACAAATTGCCCTTCTATAATTTCTAAATTTACTTTAATAAAATCAATGACTAATTAGGTTTTATCGTTAAATATAGTGGAAAATGTCTTTTTTTAATTTATTTCTATTTTTAAAAAGAAATTTATCACGTATAAATTTTTTTATTTTGTTTTCATTTATCTAATATATAAAAAAAAATGATAAGATTTATTTCTTCGTACACTTTTTATGTTTTATTATATCAATGATAAATTTAAAAAAAATTATTATATTAGATTTTCTCTTATATTTTATTGAATATTATAAAGTTCAAAGATAAAATAATACCAAATATAATTTTTTTTAAAAATAATTTCAATGTTATGTAATTTTTTATAAAATATTTAAATAACAGGTCATTGACTTTATGTATAATAAGAAGAGAATCTTCATCTTAGAAAACCGGTCAAATTTATGAGAGAAAGTATATATATATATATATTTATTTTAGAGAAAGATCCCTTGAAAATATTCTAAAAAAAGAATCGGATACCTGTTTATAGAAAGGGAGAAAAAAAAATAGAGAAATAGTTAATACCTACGACTTGATGGACTGTTCCTATTATATGTATTCGGACATTGAACGCAGTTTCTATAATAATCTTATTCAAGCATTGTCCGATTTTTCATTTTGACTTATATATCTCTGAGATAATCTTCTACGTTCTTAAATCCCATAACGATAAAACCATTTAAAGTTTAGAAAAGATATTCTATTATTTATATTATCGAAAATATTTTTTTTAAATTATATAACATTGAAATTGTTTCGTAAAATTAAAAAAAAAATTTTTTTACACAATTTTTTTTTCTTTTTTTTAAATTAAATATTATTTTAACTATTATAATTTTTTATCAACACTGGGAAAAAAATCTGATTTTCAAAATTTTGATCAATTTACCACATATATTCAAAAATAGTTTTTATATATGCAATTTTTTTTTAAATATTTCTTTTTCGTTAACGTTTGATGGGCTTCTTTATTGCGAGTAAAATTTCAAGGACTCTCAAGTACATAAAACGAAATGATAGTAGATAGAGAGAGAAAAAGACATATAGTTCGTTTTAGCTTATCATGATGCAATTCGTATGTGCATAGGTGTGTTCATCACATTTCGAGAAGGAAAAATAAAAAAAAAAAAAAAGAAAAAGTTGGACGTTCTATTAGAAACTAGAAAATGAATTGTACACACCCAATGTTTAATCTGGATTATTGACTTTCATTCTTGATGTCCTTAAAAACAAATTGAACTGATATGTATGACAGTTTTGTGAAAAAAAAATGATTATCCCTTTTTTTTAATAATAATAATAATTAGCAATTGCAAATAATTTTTTTTTTCATTTATTATTTTCGGAATTTAATTGAACGAATCGATTCTAGTATTGAGAGAGAGAATGAAATTGAAAATTCCAATCCTATATAAAAATGAATATTGTGAGATAAAAATATATTTAATTGAAATTCCCATATATTATATTGTGCTGTGCATTCAATTAAATTGAAATTAAAAATTTAATTATCTTGTAATTTCCCATAGTTTTCACTATATTATAATATAGACAAAATTATTATTATTATAGTAATTATTATTAATTATCTATTATAATTTAATTATTTATTGGAAATTTTTTTGATTATATTATAATATTAAACAAAATTATGATTTAGTCATATACATTAATGTAAATATAATGAAAGTGAGAAAACAATTATTGATATCGTTATGAAATTAAAATCACATTTATTAATAATAAATTCGATCATTGTTTTTTTAGTATTTAACATTAAATTAATTTCCGATATTTTTTTTTTACATTAAAAATTCGTTAAAAAATTTAGTGGAATTTCGAAAAATTAAAAAAAATTACGGTATTAATTTTTTAATTTAATTTATGTTTCAGATATTCAGTATTCTAATTTTGATTTCAAAAATACTTTTATTCAAATTTTAATTTTATTTTTATTAATTTTCATTCATAATGTTATTTTTATTTTCTAAATTTATTTTTACAATTTTATTATCTCTGATGATAGTTAATTTATTTTTTCCCCGGTTGTAAATGGAAGTTTGTTTCCTTTTTTTCAATTTAAAAAAAATTTTTCAATTTTATTCTCGCGTTTTTTTTTTGTCAAAATATTTTTTTTCGGATCATTTTTAGTTGAGGTCAATTTAATAGTAATATATTTGTGACCGCGACCTAGCAACTGTGTGTTTTATATTTTTTTTTTTTTTTTGACGTCACATAATGACGTAGCGGAAAACGTGAGGGGAATTGCGATGGATAAGAGTTGTAAAATATATAGATATATCCAATACGCGAAAAACTTGTAAGACTTACATCAGGTATTTTACCTCGTAAAGTTTAAATGTTGATATGAAGTCGAATGGCGCAATACGACTGGTCGATTTCGTGGGTGTGTTTTGGGGGCTCGTCGCAACTCATTTACAGTAACGTAGGATTCATTTATTTCGCGGAAAAATGACTCTCAGTTTGGAAAAAAAAAATATATCAGTTTTTAATGACGATCGAATGACATTGAAAAGTCATTATCAATACTTTTTTTTTTTTATTAGTTTTCCTTTAATATTTTTTTTTTTTCAAATTATTTTTTTTCAATTTTCTTTCTATTTCTTTTTTGATAATTAACATTGTAATTTTTTTTAGAAAAATTTTTTTTTCATTCCTTATTATTTTTTGATTTTTATTCTCAATTTTAACAAATTTTTTAAATTAATTCCGCACAATTGATAAAAGTTTCTCTGTATCTTTAAATTATTTAATCCGCGATGCAAAAGCGCATAAAAGTTGAAATTCCACTTTGTTATCTAATAGTAAAGTAATGTATGATTTGTCGTAATTGAGGGATGCAAATTATTTACCTCATTGACCCTAATAAAATCTCAAATAGACTATAATTGAAACTGATAATAATTCTGTTATTATAACTTTCGCTTTTATAATTCCTATATACGTATTATAATATAGATAAAACGATGTTTATTTTATTTATCAAAATTAGAACACTTTTTTGAAATTATATTTTTTTTCGACTGTTTAAGATAAAAAATGAAAATTACGATTATATACTTTTTTTTACGATCCAAAAAAAAAAATTATGAATCCTATTCAAAGAATTATTAATTAATATATTATTAATTATTCATTGGGAAAAAGGCGGAAATTATTAAGTCACGTTTACTTATAATTTTGAATTTTATTTCTCACATTCGAATTTTAATTTTCATCTAATTAACTTTTTTGCAAAGTGAATATTATATTTCTTTTTACATTTTTTCAATAATCGAATTTTAAATTCGAAAATTTTTTTTTATTTAATAATTTTTTATTAAAATAAAGTATTATTTAATTTATTTTTATTTATATCCATTATTTGGCATTTTTCACAAAACAAAAAATTATTTTTTTAAATCCACTATTTTTAAATTTGAAAATAATTATGATTTTGCAAATATTCAAAGAATAGAAAATTATATAATAATTTGTGAATTAAATTCGATTGAAAAAAAAAAAAAATGGAAAATTGATGCAAATATATACGTACGTGTATATGAATTTATATATACAAAAAAAAGTGCATTGATACTACCAACACATTTGTGACAGAAATTGTTGCACAGGTGATTCGCTCACGTGGCGGTTTTTCTACGTAGAATATGTCACGTGGTGTCAATGCATACATATGCGAAATGAAGAATGATTGCACATACGTTTTTTCATTTTTTTTTTTTTTTTAGTTAAACACGGATATAAGGTGGTCAGTGTTACGTAGAGTTTATACAAAGTATAAGCTTTTAAAGACTGTTAATCGTCAAGTTAATGTGAAATTTTTATTTTAAAAAATAAAATTTCAAATTATTATAGTGACTCCTTATATACCGGTTTTAGTGCTTTAATTAATAGTTTTATCGAAAAAAAATAAAAGAAGATTTAAATAGAATTATAATTTATAAAATAAAAATGTCGATGGACAGTGCTTTATTCTTGTTTAATATTGGGGAAAAGAGAAAACCCGCTCTCATTGAAGTGAGTAATTTTTAATTAATAATTAATTTAATTTAAAAAAAAATGAGAAAATTAATGAAAAATTAAAAAAAAAAATTATTAGTGAAACGTTTATTTTAAAATTTAAGAGAGATTAGAAAAATGGAATTGGAAATAAAATGATTTCAATTTATGAAAATAAATATATTTTTTGCT